CACGGATATACATGTGATACACAATAGATACAGATATGATACATATGTGATACACAAATGGTACACAGTGTGATACACATAATTTTTTTTCATGTTCGAGTTTTACTTCGAATTTTCAATTCAAACCACCTCAAAACTTCACCAAATCGTCCCAAAATTGAGATTCAAGCTCCTTAAGTTGTGCCCAATCTATTCTAATGCTCAAAATAAAATAAAATTTTGATATTTTTTTGCTACAAATAGCTAATTGGCTAATTTGGCTAATATTAGTAATATTTTATCAATTGGCCAACTTTTGTAATGAGCTACCTATAAATGGACATAGCTGGTAATTTCCCTTTTTACTTTCTTATTATCTAGTGATATATAATTTAGGGTAGAAATGGCGTGGGATAACCACCTTTTAACATGGTATTTAGTTTTTATTCAGTATTTAATGATGAGCAAAAATAGCCATTACTAATTACAATTATAGAAAAAGACGTTTTTATACCCTTTCATGAATGCTATGTAAATACTAAGGACATGGTGTCCTTAATATTTACACTGCGCATATGAAGTTAAGGACACCATATTTTTAATATTTACACTGTACATGTGAAGTTAAGGACATGATGTCCTAAAGTATACAATAGTAGGTGCAAATACATGACACTTTGTGCTTAATATTTACTCAATGCTCATAAAGTTAAGGACACTATGTCATTAACATTTACACTGCACACATGAAGTTAAAGACACCAAGTGCTTAACATTTACACTGCACATAAGAAGTTAAGGATATGAGGTCCTAAAGTTTAACAACAGAAGGTGCAAGTACAAGTTAAGGACATTATGTCTTAATATTCACACGGCACATATGAAGTTAAGGACGTCATGTCCTTAACATTTACACTGCACATATGAAGTTAAGGACATGATGTCCTAATGTTTAACAACGGAAGGTGCAATACATGATATTTAATATTTACACAACCTTCATAAGTTAAGTATACCATGTCCTTAATATTTACACAGCGCCAATGTCTAGCACAGAGGTATTTTCGTCCGGCGAGTAAAAATTTATTAAGCACTGGCTAAAGAGTAAATATATTTTAAAGTGTGGCTAAAGAGTAAAGACATCTCTAATTGGTGGCTAACTGTGTACTTCCCCTAATTTAGGCACTTAGCCAATATATTATTTTAGTCAACTTATTGAGGCTTTTACTTAATATTTTATAGTTAATAAAGAGTAAGGGAGGTCCAACTGGATGTCTGTGATTAGCAATGACCAATAGATCACCGAGTCATTCTTGAATGAGAACTGAGAAGGTTTAGAGTTGCAAACCAAAAGCATTGGTATACATGTGCAGTGTTCTTTGATGTAATTAGTGTTCGAAGAGAACAAAGATGATAGGTTTAGAAAGTGGATTTTTTCATTGAGTTTTTTCTCCTTGTAGAGGAGAATGTATAGGTGATTTACAGAGAATTCTGAGAGAGCAGAGATGGATTAGGAGCAAATATTTCTTTGTTTAACTTAACGTTACTCCTAAACATAGTGAAGCGTAATGCAATTTTGTTCTCCTTAATTCTGCTTGTAAAGTGGTGCAAATCTCATCAAAGATCTCTAGACGAAGCAGATTGAATGAAATTTCTTATCATTTTATACATCTGTATCGTAAAATAATATGATATTGATTGCCATATATTGAGTACGCAAACATCACAGATTGATCTAATTAAAATACCATGTTAATGATAATGGACTTTGAACCTGAGGATACTGAATAAAAAAGACTAAGAGCTCGTTTGGCTTAGCTGATTTAGAGTAGCTGATAAACATTAGGTGCTGAAAAGTACTTTTAAGTGCTGAAGCAGATTTAAATAATAAGCAGTTACGTGTTTGGATAAAAGTGCTGAAATTAATAATATGGAGCTGTAGAACTGGATATGCGAAGAGTTTTGTTTTAAAAAGAAGTATTTTAGAGATAGAATAGTTAATATTTTGGTCAAACTTAAAGTGCTTATAAGCTGAAATTTGATAAGTTGGGGGAGACCAACTTACGGCTTTTGACTTATTTTTGGCTTATAAGCACTTAATTTATAAGCACATTTAATTTTACCAAACGCGTAGATAAGCCAAAAAGTGTTTATAAGCTAGTTTGACCAGCTTATAAGCCTAGCCAAACACCCTCTAAATAGGAGCAATATGAAAAGTGCACAAGAGAAAACAGAAATTTAAAATATTTAAATTTTCACAAAAAAAATACACCAAATTAGTTAATACTTAATAATACACTAAATCGAGTCAAATAATGTTGGTAAATCTACTTTAAACACAAAAGCGCATCAAGATAAAGGATCGTCCATTTATTTTTTAAGCTAGAGGATTTCTCTTTGAAGTTTGAACAGCCTAGTCAAGGTAAATCCGGAAAACTACGCATCATATGCAAACATTTACCAGAAGTAATTCGCAGCAGATGACTAACAACAAAATGATAGTGGCGCAGCGGAAGCGTGGTGGGTCCTTGACCCACAGGTCCCGGGATCGAAACGTGGCTCTAATAGTGATATTCTAGAGGTAAAAGGCTTCCAATCTCTCTGACCTTTCTATTATAGCACAAAATTAGTTCACAGGCTTTTCAGCTGAGGTGATCCATTTTGTTCATTGTTCACAGGCTTTAAATAGTTTTTACCCACTTGATTAGTGGCAGAGCAGAAGAAAGGTTGTTCAACTGAATCCCTGTCGTTTTGGATTATATATATGTATACCTGTTTATCGGACGGGCTGGACACAAAAAATGTCAGCCCGTTCGGTTTCGGGCCGGGTTGTTGGCGGGCTGGGATTTTTCGGGTTCTATAGGGCCCGTACGGGTTCGGGCTTAACGGGGTTGGGCTATATATATATATATATATTTTTTTTTTAAATTAAGTTATATTTTTCTTTTTCAATGTTATTGATAGTTAAGTACTTAATAGTTTGCAAACTTTTAAGGGTTAAAATTAAAGATTAGAATTGAACTTTTAAGTGGCTAAAATATAAATAAAATTGAAAATTTGAAATTAGAAAGTAAGTGGCTACAAAAAATTATTTAATAAGACCAATAGGCAAATTATTTACAAAATTGAAGTTTGCATTAACAAGTAAATTAATGAAAAAGAGTAAAACTACATTTTCATGCATAATAAATTAATAATACTTCAAAATTCAAATTAATCTAACAAACTAAAACATTAAGCATAAATACGTCTAATAATTTTAAAATAACACAAATTGTCTCAAATCAACTTAAAAGACGAACTTCTGGAGTACGCTCAAGACAACTCTTGATATGCCTCCTTAAAGAGGCAGTGCCACACATTGGACGATGATTTATGATTAAACCACAGTTCTTGCACTTTAATTTCCGAGCTTCTTCATTTTCTTCTAACACCTCAAAGTGTTCCCAAACATATGAGCGCACTCTAGAAGTACGGGGCATGATTTAACTTGAAGTCTTGAAATTGATGCCGCACTTCACTTGAATAATTGAATTAGAAATTTATGATAATAATACTTTTATAATGACTAAACTAAATATTTGATGAAACTTGAAAGTTGAAAGCTTGAAATAATGAGTAATTGAGAATATTATCAAGAGAGAATTGAGAGAGAATTAGAGAGAAAATGAATTGAATTGTGAGGAATAATGAAGAAGAAAGGGGGTATTTATAGTTTTTAAAAGGCTACAATTGCAATTTAGAAATTATAAGGAGTGGGGGGCTAAAATATAAATAAAAAGCCAAAAAGTGGGCAGAAATAAACGTTAGCCAACGGTCCTTTTTGGTATTAGACCGTTGGCAACGGGCTGTAGCCCGTTAAGGACTTAACGGGTTGTAGCGGGTTCGGTTACCCGTTAAAAAAAGTGGACGTTACAAGCCCGCCCCCCGCCCAACCCGCGCTATAGTCTACAGTAACGGGCTGGACCGGGCTGACCCGGGTTGAACCGGGTTGTTAGCGGGTCAGCCCGGCCCGATTAACACCTCTATATATATGGTAGACGGTTGAATCTCCTTGATATATAAGGGAAAATTCTAGTAAAGTGAAATAGGAATTCGAAAGTTGTTTTAGGTCATAGGTAGACAGAAGTTTGATCACTCGAGAACTCAAGTATCAACGGTTGAAATTTCATATACAGAGGGCTCAACAAAGGATGACCACCCAAGCTAACAAGCATAGATCCGATCGACAGTTCAAGGAAGGTGATTGTCCCATTTCTCAAAATTGTCAGCCAAATACTACGACCCCTATCGAATTTTACAGAAAATTGGAATGGTCGCTTACAAGCTCTCACTGCCTACCCAACTTCTCATTCACCCCACATTCCATGTATCCCAGCTTAAACCTTGCCGCAAGTTGCCAGAAAAGATTTCCCACCCTCCGGTCATCGATATAGCCAGCCCATATCGTCCTCAACCCCAGCAAATTTTGGACAGACGTTTGGTGCAGAAGGGAAACAAAGCAATTGCACAAGTGTTGGTACAATGGGAACACACCACACCGGAACAAGCCACTTGGGAAGACTATCACTGTCTGAGGACCAAGTTTCCTACTTTCCTTCCTTGAGGACAAGGAAGATTTCAACAAGGGGGATCTGATACGAGTTTGCGTCGATAGTACATGACGCTTAGAAGGCAGTACTCGATAGTTGAGTTAGTTAAGAAGGTGACTGAAGGTAGGTTTCGTAAATATCAGTCTAGCCCTATTAAGTTTTAAGTTACTAGTTTTTGTAATTACATATTGACCCCTATAATTTCCTTACCCTATATACGAAAGGTCCTAGTGTCCAATTAGGGAAAGTGTAGGTGAGGAATCTTCTCTCTCATCTATATATTGTAATTATATACACCAATGGGAATAATGTGTTTGGGTACAATTACGAAATTGCCCTCTGCAGCAAGCAGGCATGTTGATGATACAGCCACCTCGCTGTTGCTTCTAATATAATCTAAATTATCCTTTTCAGTGCAGAATTGTTGAGAAGAATATACTCTTTTGCCCTAGTTAGCTTCTTCTTCTTTCTTGGTCTTCCTTCATTTTTCCTTCATTTCCGCACCTTTTCTTTATTTTTAGTGTTCCATTGCCTCAAATCGTATCATATTTCAAGCAAGTTCTTTCTCCTCTTCTGTCTGTTTTGCGTTTTTGCACTATTGTCAGCCTTCAGAGACATGGGCAGACCTCTGGCCGTGTTATTTCACGCAACTTCTCTCTCCTCTTCCTCTTTTCCGTTTTTGTACCATTCTCAGCCTTCACAGACATGCACAGACCTTTGCCCGTACTATTTCACGCAAGTTCTCTCTCCACGCGCGTTTTGGCGAGTCTCAGTACTCATAGCTCATTCCATGCTTCACAATTCGTAAAATCTCAAAGCCACAGTCTCACTTACGCCTTTTAGGGAATCTTTCTTAATTCAAATTCAAATCTAGCCTTATATCACTTCACGTAAGGCCGAGCTTCACCAAAATGATATGAGGTTTTCGTCTCTACTCTTTAATTTTTTCTGACCAGCCTTCAAATCGACTATTGAACCAGCCGCAACTCTATTATCCTAGCAGAACCCTAGTTTTAAATTTCTTTCCCTTCGGCCTCTGTTGTTCTTTAGATATGACAGTCCTAGGTCGTATTTTGCTCGTTTCGGTTGCGGAGTAGCTGATCTGAGACCCGTGAAGTAGACCTCCTTCTCCAAGTTTGCTGCGTAACAGAGGTCAATTTCTTTTGTTTTTTCTCTGTTTTATCTGTTCTATGTTGATGTTGATGTTTCAATGCTTGTTTTCGAAGTGCTATTAGTTTCACTGTGTCTCACGCTTAAATATTCAATTTAGGGGTTGCTTATGGATAAAGGAAAATTTACGGACGAAGCCAGGCATATTCAACAACTAATCTCTACTAAGAGAGATGTATGCCTCCCAGCAAGGAGATATTTGGTTAATGAGTTAAGTCTTCGCCAAAAAAACTACATGCCTCTAACTGATTGGAAACCCAAATGCGGTGCTCGGAAACTCAACTATAGAGTGGCTGACACAACATTGACTGAATGTCGACTCATTTCGGATACACGAATAGTACTTAGGTAAGTTTTTATATTTATTTATTTCTTCTTTTTTTCATACTAATTTACGTTTAGGCTATTTCATACTAATTTATTTATTTCTTCTTTTTTTCATACTAAATTCTTAAAAACGAAATTATACATTATGTGTTGCTAATAATTAGTTACTCTTTTTGAATTTGAATTAAGTCATTTTTTTTATGAAACAATTTTTTTAAATATATTTAAAATTATATTTCTATTTTACGCTTAACGCCATCTTTCAAGTTTGACACTCAGAATCATCTAGTTATAACTACCATGGCTATAATTTCATCCGACAATATTCTTTTACCGATAAGAAATTCAACTATTATGCTAATAAAGACATTACTGCAGAGATTGAGGAATATTCCTTTAGAAATGCAAGGCAAGTCTTGTACTAATATGGAGGCGTTGTGCGATAGAAGTAGAGATAGAAATTATTGAGAAATGTTATCATATGTAAATGAATTTATTTATTATTTTATGGTGGATTATCAATATATAGTAATTTGTGGAATAGACTTCTAATTCATACTGAATGATGTATTTTGATTATTCCAATCATCATGTAACAATAACTGATTATGCTAGATAATAATATATGCTTTGGTATAACTATATATGTAAAATTAATTTAAATATTTAATATGTATGTTTCATATTTTAATTAAATAAAATAAAGTAATAAAAGTATCTTACGACAAATATTTAAGTTTATTTTTCTTTTTAAAATGATTATAAGACCTTTGTACTGTCCTTTTTGGTAATTTGACACTCAAAAGCACTTTTTAGAAAGATTGACCAAACACAATTTGTTTATCAAATGTTACAAAAAATACTTCTTAAATGAATTGGCCAAACACAAATTGCTTTTTTTCAAAAGTACTTTCGGAAAAAGTAATTCTGAAAAAAAGTACTTTTCAAAATAAGCAGATTTTGGCAGCTTGGCCAAACGGACTCTAAGTTCTCATCCCCTTCTTATCTTTATCCTTAGCTACCTTTACGTTCCAGTGTTTCTTATTGTTTTTCAGTTGTTTGAATGTTATGTTGTTATCCGAATTTGTAATTGAGTTCTACTTCATATTGATATACTAGGCGAGGTGATGCTCATGCTAAGCATGGGCCCAATATGTGATTGTTCTTTTTTCCCCTCCTTATATTGTACTTTTATGTGTTTTAAGTACGAAGTTTCAACACTTTTTAGAAGTTCAAGTGTAAAACCTTGAGATTAATCCTATTTAAGATTAGCTAGATAAGAAGATTAACATTTCCTTTTGTTGATGTTTCACAAGATATGCAATCGGAAAGTTGAAAATGAGTCACTTAATGAAAGATTGTTCATATAACAAAAGGTTAAAGCAGACCGTTTTTAAATTTTCTTGAAACTAAGGACAGGTGTAGGCCAAACGTTAAAGATGTGTTTTATTATTGATTGAAAAGTTTGATTAAATATATCTTAAAGAATTTATAATCCATAAAAGTCGTCTTCATTTGCATATTTAAACTAATTAGATTGAGTTTGGCTTTAAATTTGTGTTTTTGCTTCTAAATTTTGGTTTTAGGCTTAGTTATCAATAAATTGGTTTAGTGTTATCTACGGATTTCAAACTTATAGTAGGTCAAATAAAGCGTAGAGATCAAATGTGCATAATAGTTTAGCAATAGTAGCTATTTACCTCCATTTGAGTGTGTATTAGAGAGATCCAACTTATTATGTTGAAATGATTTAATGAATTGAAAACATACATTAATAAATTATATTAAACAATACAATTTTATGTGCATATATGTGTCATGTTCTATCGATTTGGTATAAACACTCATGTAAGTAAGTTCCTTATTCATCAAAATTCTTGGTATGAAAAAGTCTTTTATTTACATTATTTTGTTTTGTAGCTGGCGGATTTTCTATTATTTAAATTTCTCAAGTTATAATGAGTAAGACACTTTTGTATTCGAATTTGGTTTGAGATTAATTTTGAATAATTATTTTGTAGAAAAGAATATTAATAAAAATACAAAACAATGTAAAATCTCTATTTGAAGGAAAATTAATAAAATTAAATAAAAAAATTTGCCATTGAGAAAAATAACATTGCATAATCATTTTAAAAATTTAAAAGGGCCTTGATTGCAATTTCAGATAAACCTAAGCTATTTTCGCTTGAAAAATAGGCACAATTTCCCCTTGGTTTTCTTCTTCTAATCTATTTTGGTCAAATCAATTTTTTTATCCTTTTGAATTAAACTAAAAATTTTGTAGGTTAACATATCCACCCGCTTGCAAATCCATATTCTCCAACATTTCACTTCTCTCCGTATACCTAAACTTTATGCTTTGATCAGATAGTTCCATCGTTTGATATCTTTTCAACTTGAAAGGTAATTCAGATTTTCTTGGTTATTGCACAAAAATAATTTTTCTAAGTAAATTTATTTGGATTCTAGTGTTTTATTAGATTAGTTTATGTAGTTTTGCTGAGTTGATCTTATTAGATTCTATTCCTATGGCTACACAAAATCTGCTTTTCTATTGTCAAGCTTCGCTCCTTTTTTTTCTCTCGTTTTTTTTTTTGGTAACTAAATATTTTTATTTATCACCAAAAGGTCTTTACAAATCGTAGCTTAACTATCACAGATAGCTAGCCATTCAGTCATTCTCTGATGCAACTAGATTCTAAAAGTATTGACTATATCTCTAGTTTTTGCTACTGCTCTAATACTACAAATACAAGCAATTTCTCTAGCTATTGATTCACTAGTTCTATATGTTTTCTCAAAAATTCTCATATTTCTCTCTATCCATATGCTATGAACATATTCTGTGTATATCATCTTCAATATCTGTGCAGTCCGACTCTTTCCTTTAGCTCTTCTAATTGTCTCCTGTTGATGCTGCTGCCTATCACTTGTGTTCATTATCTTGCCATGAGTCCACTGATTCACTATGTGCCAGATATCTTTAGCAAAGGTGCATTCCCAGAAAGGATGCTTATGTGTTTCTGCTGCATTTCCACACATAACACATTGTGTATCAATTGCCATACCCCATTTTACTAACCTGTCAGTAGTTAGTAATCTGCCCTGAAGTTGTAACCATAGAGTGAACTTTGCTTTAGGACGAGCTGCATTGTTAAACATCATGTCCTTCCATGGCACTCTTGTTTCATCTCCAATCATCTGAATATATATCTGCTTTGTGATGCTTCTTTCTTGCTTGAATTTCCACTGTCTTCCTTCAAAGATTGTCCTGGCTTCCATAGTTTTCCTTGTCATCCAGCATGCTTGTTGTGGGATTGTCATTGTTTCTATTGCTTGGTCCTTGATGTAATATGTATGGATCCATTTTATCCATAGCTTGTCTTTTTTTTGAGCAAGATCCCAAAAGTTCTTTGCAATAGCTGCTTTGTTCCATTTCTGTAGATTTGCTAACCCCAGACCTCCAATGCTCTTTGGTGCACATACTCTTTCCCATGATACTAGAGCTTTTTTGGTGATAGTATTGTACCCAAACCATATGTAACTGCGACAGTAGGCATCAATTGTTTTCAGGACTTTGGTGGGCAGTACAAAGATTTGAGCCCAATAAGCTTGGACTCCAAATAAAACAGTCTGCACCAGTTGAACTCTTCCTCCATAGGATAACTTCTTTGCTGTCCATGCAGAGATCTTTGCCACAATCTTCTCTATAAGTGGTTGCCATTGGACTAGAGATAGCTTCTTGGTGGATAATGGGACCCCTAGATATTTAAAAGGTAGTTCCCCTTCAATCAATCCCAGCTCTTGTAACATTCTTTCTCTATCTTCTCTATTCACACCACCAAAATAGATTGAGCTTTTTGCCAGATTTGCCTTGAGTCCTGAAGCAGCTGAGAACTGGTTGAAGCATTGTTGGACAGTGACTACTGATGATAAATCTCCTCTAGCAAAGAGTAACAGATCATCAACAAAGCATAAGTGTGTGATTGCTAACTTTGAACATCTGGGATGGTAGTGGAACTCTGCCTTCTTTGTCATTTCTTTTAGACTCCTACTCAGGTACTCCATTGCTATAGCAAATAAGAATGGAGACATAGGATCTCCCTGTCTAAGACCTTTAGCAGCATTGAAAGGAATTGAGGTCTCACCATTTATCAGAATAGTATAGCTTACTGTTTTCATACATTCAAGGATCCAATTGATAAATTGATTGGGGAATCCCAATTCTCCTAACACTTGTTCCAGATATATCCACTCCACCGAATCATAAGCTTTTTGGAGGTCTATTTTGATCATGCATCTTGGTGAGATGTGTTTCCTAGTATAAGTTTTCACAAGCTCATGAGCTAGAATAATGCTGTCTCCAATTTTCCTTCCTGGTATGAAACTTGCCCGTGATTCACTTATTATAGTAGCAATGACTTTTTGAATCCTTGCTGCTATAACCTTTGAGATCAATTTGTACAAAATAGTGCAGCAGGCTATTGGTCTATATTCCTTCACAGTTCTGGGATTGTCATTCTTTGGCAATGATGTGATAGCTGTACAGTTTATGGCTTTATACATCCTCCTGTACTGAAAAACTCCAAAACTGCAGCACAAACCTCTTCCTTGATGATCCCCCATGCTTTCTTGAAGAAGGTAGCATTATATCCATCTATCCCAGGAGCTTTATCTTCACCAATTGACTCAAGGCCTTGTTGGATTTCCTCTTCTGTCACTGGAGCTATCAGATCTAGCTTTTGTTGCTGATTCAGAACAGGTCCTCCTTTCATATTCAACTTGTTTATAGCTGGCAGTTCCTTTGCACAGGATCCTATTAAGGATTTATAAAATTTTACAATCTCCTCCTGAATTTCCTTTGGGTCTGTAAGGTTCTCATTCTCTAATGAAGTGATTTCCTTAATAGTTTTTCTCTGACTTCTGTCCTTGACCACTGCTGAAAAATATTTTGTGTTTGAATCCCCTAGTTGGATCTATTTGGCTCTTGACTTTTGCTTCATGATGTTCTCCTCTATCAAAGTCCATTTTTCCAGGATCTGCAGACTGTTCTTTTCCTGTTCCACCAACTCTTCTGTGCATTTTAATGTCAGCTGTTTCTGGATCCATACTAACTCACTTCTTGCATTGTCTATCCTCTGTGTTATGTTTCTGAACTCCTCATTATTCAATTGCTTGAATAATGGTTTTAATGCCTTCAACTTCATCCATACATCTTGCATCTTCCATCTTGACAGCTTTTGTTGCCATGTTTGCTTCACTATATGTTGAAACTTGCTATGATCTGCCCAAGTGTTGAAGAATCTGAATGGTATTTTTATGTCTCTCTGATTTGTGTGTAGCTCAAACACCATTGGATTATGGTCTGAAATTAATGGAACATCATATTCCATCACTAAGTGCCCCCACTCCATCATCCATTCATGGTTGCCAAACGCCCTATCTAGTCTGCTATAGATTCTTTCCCTGCTTTGCTGTTTGTTACTCCAGGTATAGTAGTCCCCTGTCCATCTCACCTCATTAAGTAGGAGGTCATGAATGCAATCATTGAAGTCTTTAATCTCACCATATTATACTTGATTCCCATTGAGCCTGTCTTGAGGATATAACACAGCATTAAAATCTCCAACAACTAACCATGGCATATTTATTCCTTGGGCCAGAGTTTTAAGCGTTTCCCATACCCTTTTCCTTTCCTCACATGTATTATAACCATAGATTACAGTTATAACACAAGTCTTCTTTGATGCTATTGTATTGACTTGACAATGGAGTAACTGAGCCTCTTCTTTCAATTTATTCACAGTATATAGTCTACTATCCCATAATAGCCAAACTCTTCCATTTACTGCACTCCTGTAATTATTCAGAAATTCCCAGTTAGTTACCACATTAGTAGCCACATTTGTTGCATTATGCTCCTTGACTTTAGTTTCTATTATTCCAGCTAAAGTAATATGTTTAGTTTTTATATAATTTCTCAGTTCCTTCTGCTTATACTTCTTATTTACTCCCCTTATATTCCAAAACAGCCACTTCATTTGTTACAAACTGGTTCCTCCCCCTTTGTCAGGGGGTGCAGACTTTGATCCACCTTGAGCTCTGTTCAACACAGCAAAGACATTCTTAGTTGGCACTGAGCATAATATTGGAAACTCCTGTAGATTGAGTTCTGGAACCATGTTTTTCCCTTTATCAGGTGTTTCAATATCAGTCCTCTCCCTTTGTTTCTGCTCCTGAATCATAGCTGCTGCTTGTTTCTCTTCCATTTGTTTGTGATTGTCATCTGTTTCATTGCTTCTAACTTTTGTTCCAGCTACCTGATTGTCTCCATTTTTGTTGTCTTGCTGTTCCTTTGGTTGTTCTTTTGTCACCCATCTCTGCACTATTCTTTTGTGCCCATCCTGTTTAGCTGGTTGTTCATCATTCTTTCTCTGGTCCTTTGGACATTCATGACCAATAACTTGACATTTCTCACAAAATAATGGTTTCCAGTCATATAGAACAATCTGTGGAAATACTCTGCCCTTTGGATCTGTTACTTCAATTTGATCAGGTAATGATTTTGTCACATTAACTTCCACTAGCATCCGAGCATATGACACTCGCTTTTGCTTGGCAGTGCATTCATCTGCATACATTGGTATCCCAATAGCACTTGATATCCTACTTAGTAAATTTATCCCCCAACAATTCATAGGCAATTTTGGCAGCTTGATCCATATTGGTATCTCAGTAGGAAATTCATTATCAAAATCAAATTCCGGAGTCCATGGCTTCAGAATGATTGGTCTGCTATTGATAGTGTATGGTCCTGAGCATAGGATTTCTTTCATATCATCAACTGATTGGAATTTGATGATGAAATAACCCTCCTCATGCATGAACAACTCTGGGCTTGCAATTTTGTTCCACTTTAGATCTATATATCTGCTCATTGCATTATACCCAGGGCAATCCCCAATTACATAAGCAATTAAGGCTCCTTTCCATTTTTCAGTCTCCCGTTCTACTTCCTCTTTCTCCAATTGAACAACTACTTTGCCATCTACTAATTGAGGAGCAATATAAGATAAGGCCATACCGTTTTCTACAGATCTGTTGTTCACAAATAGACTCAACCATTTTTGAGTTGGTTGTTGTACTGTAGCTTGTATCACTGTTCCATTGGGTTCCTGAGCTTGCACTTCCTCGATTTGCTTCGATTCTACTCTAACTGCTTCTTCCACTTCTTTCAACTTCAATTGTGCCGGATCTGGGCTCAATTGAAGTTTTTTTAGCAACTGTTACTCCATTAGACGACGATCCTACCTCATTTTGCATCAGCTCACTCATTTGCACAGGTGTTACTTGATTTAGTTCTCCTTCTGTATTTTCCGGTTGCCTGCGTCCTCCAACTGAGCTTCCAAAAGTGACTACTGGTAGCTTCCTAGGTCTGCCGCGTCCTCTTCCCCGTCCGCGACCTCGTCCTCCTGCCATGGTTTTCACACCGGCGTCACTTTTGATGTTTCTCCTTTTACATTTATGTTTCTCTAATAGATAGTTTCGACATACAGCAGAAACGAACATCATGTTCGTCTCTTTTAAGCTCTAAAGTCTTCTCTTTCTTATATCCTAACAGTAAATATATTTTTCGTTTCACAGTAAATAAAACAAATAGCGAATAATTTTAGCTAGTACAATTATGAGCTTTCTAGTGATAAAGATATCCAAGATTAAGATGAAGACATGGCCATTCATCCTTCAAGCTTATTTCTTGAATTATATGAGGAAAGCTGAATAGGCTATCATAGAGAAAACTAAAAAGAACAAACAATAGATAAGGCTAAAAAGAACAAATATAAGCAAAATAGTAATGCCTGGTCAACATAAGGCTGCAACTTGAGTGACATGTGAAAAGGAGGCTAATGTGGGGTCTACATTTTCGTCCAAAAATGTGTAAGCAAGCAGCATGAAGTACAACAGGCCTAAAGCATCTAAAGTTACCAAAATAGCCCGGGACAACCCTAAGCTCCTCTAACTCCCCCTTATTAATAGTAGGAAAGTAAAGAGTTTGTCTATTTGTTGCATTACATTAAAAAGTCTATCAACATGTGTAGTTGGAACGTTATGCTATTCTAACATTACTAGTTTACTGCTATTTAACTATCAAACTAACATACTAGTTCAATAATATTTTCGAATCTTTGCAGGGGTATACTGAAATTCTTTTTCAAGCTATTTGAGGAGGATAAAGCTACTACACAAAACATTGACATACATAATTTTCTAGTCGCACCTCAAACTTTGAAGATAGTGACAGTTGATGTAACCTTCGTCGACTACTCTCCTTCTGCTCGTAGTACTAGCATAGTCCAGTTGACAAAAATCATTAAGAAATTTGTTGGAGAAAATGATTTACCAAAAGATGTGATCCACCTGTTAGATTACCTTCAAACACATGAATCTCCTCGGTAAGAATCTTTTTTAATTATGTGTTACTAACTTTTGATTTGAAATATTTTGTATTTGTGCTATCTTCCAGTATTTGGATTTAAAATAGGGAAAAAGGCCAAATTTGTCCCTATACTGTATAGGGACAAATTTGACCTTTTTCCCTTTAAAATACGCCTTTCACTTCATTTCTTCAAAAGTAAATGACTATTGTTTTTTGCAGTTCCAGGGAGGAGGTGGTATTACTACACCCCTGTACATATGCAAACTGCACATTAGCTGCATTCCTCACTTACATCCATAGTTTGTACTCTTGCGCTGTTAAGAAAAGAAATCAGGCTGTGTTGTATAATTTCCGAGCGATAGCTCAGCATATGACACGACCCACCTTACCAAGGATACTGGTTGATCCAAGTAGTAACCTGTGGAAAAGCAGGTACGACGATACTGCAAACCGTAATATGCATAATCCAGACTTTGGAGGACCTTTGGGTGTAATGATTTTCATGAGACATGGACTGGTGCACGAAGATGTCAAACAAGAGAAGGCGGTATGCGTTAGTACTTTTTTAAATGTAGTGAATTTTTCAATATATTCTCATATCTATGACATAGTTAAAGTATTTCCTTATACCAGAAAAATCCCCGTACACTTGATGCTGTGGAAAATGACCTTTACGTCTTTTTTCCCACATATGTTCCAAATTTTGTGAGGTACATGATCGAGCTTAACCTTTTTAGAGGTAACAATAATGTTTCTGTTCTTTTTTGATGGATATATTTGTAAACACTCTGTTTTTGGTTTAAGATTTAATGGTCTTGTTGTTATTATATTTAGAAAAGTTGTCTCCTGCAGGGTGTTGGATGTCGTAGATTGGGAAGTTCATGATAAGTGTTCTTTAAAGCAGAGGTATTTTACTTTATAAATTGGGTTCCTTTTTTTTTTTTTTTTTTTTTTGTTTTTGGTTGCTTATGCAGATTAATGTTCTAATGAAAATGATATAATTTCATAGCAAATAAAGTTCACGCTAAACGATGAGAACTGAGCCAGAGTAATCTTAAAATTTGCATTGTTGGAACAACACTGAATCTTTGTTTTTCCCCTCTTCATAGACGATGAAATGTAAGTTTGTTGCATCATTCCAGAATCTAGGTAGTTCATGTATAGGATTTGAATTTGTAATTGATGGACGATGATGATGGCGGGCCTGCCCTCTTATATTTAACAAACCAATGTTTGAATTGTTGAGAAATTTCCAAGTGATTTAGCAAAAGAAAAGTTCTAGTACATATGTCGATAGGATCATCTTGGTTTAGAAGTTTGGACTGTTCAGAAATTTTCAAGTTATTTAGCAAAGAAAAAAATTCTAGTATAGGTTGCCATGATCAGCTTGGTTTATACTTCCATTCTTCTTCCTTTTCCGGTGGAAGTGACAGATTGCGGTTCCTTTTTTTGGCTTGCTATCCCCATCATGATTAATCTTGGCACATGATCCATTTTTATTTTTTGAGCCTGTGCAACCATTGTTCTCTTATTAACGATTTTCTACAGAGATGCTTCAGAGTTGGATTTTCAATTTTGTATAGTCTTGTTGGCCTGTTTCTGAATGGCCTTTCCACTCTACAAAGTGAACTCTATAATGATCAATATTCTGGTATATACTAATTCCCAAAGGAAAATCTTAATGCGGTGATGAGGGGTTACATAAAATATTATTATTACATTAGGTCATGTTGCTGTCATTTGAAATGTGCATTTGATGTGATTTGATCCTGCTTGTTTGATTGTCATTGATGCAGAAATGCCTTTTCTAGCAGATTTGTGAATCATGATAATCTCAAGAAAACAGATTGTCTGGGGACTGAAAGTAGTTTTGCAGACGAATTTTGTATTCAGTTGTGGTTACAAATATGCACTCTAGTACTTCGCATTTGATAATATTGCAGATATGATGCATGACGGATGTCAGAGAGTAAGAGTGAAGTGTGATATCCTAGCTGTCTAGTAGCATGGGATTACTTTTTTTGGTCTATATTAGTAATCAAGATATAATGCTTGACTTTGTCTCAAAAACTCAAAAGCAGTCTTATCTTAGCCCTTAATCTTCGACTCGTGGCAGGAAAAAGATATTTTCAGATTTCACTTGTTTGAGACTATACCACTCTTGAAAGCATCTAATGTACTTAGTATTCTTTGTCTTGTTAAAAAAGTGTTCATTTTAATCTTTTTTTATGCCGAGTTACTTGTGGAAAACACTTGAGTATGCTTAAGAAAATGGTTCATCGGAGCCTCTGGAAAATCAGAAGCATTCATATTTTGAAGTGGTGGTTTAGCTTAGTCTTGGAATAGCCTCAGGTATGAAACTTGAAGATGATATGTTTGCTAGGAAAGAACTTTGATAAAAAAACTTGTTTTCGGGCTCCGTGAGTTAGAGGGCCAACATTTTTGGGGACAATTCATAGATTGCCATATTTAGAGAATTTTTGGGGACAATTCATAGATTGCCATATTTAGAGATTAGTTAGTATTTATTTTGTTTTGAAATTTTAAACTAAAAAACTTTAACTTCAAAACAATTCAAGATATTTTCTTCCCGAAAAAAGTAATTTCAAGTAAATTTACTTTTATTTGTAAGGGTACGGTTGTATACTTATAAATACACTAGTCTCTCGCCGCCGCGTGCGTTGCACGTGTATTCCGAGAAGGGACAAATCCAGCGTTATGGTTGAGCATAATTTATGAGCAAAAATTCACTAAAATTGTAATAAATGGTAATATGAATCCATAACTTTTAAAACATAATGGGTTCAATAAAACAAACAAACAACAATAATAATTTAGTGTAATCCCACAAGTGATGAATTCAATGCTAAAATCTTAAAGATTGATTCCATATAAATTAAATCTTGGAGCCTTTGATCTCAAGTTATTTAGTACAAAATATTTAAAAACTCATGAGTCATTTAGTACAAAATTTTAACAAAACCATGACCATTTAGTATAATTTTTAAAAAAAACACCGTATAAGATTATTAAAACATGTTTTTGAGCAATAAAATAAAAACTAAAGAATAATATATAAATTCACATTATAAAAATCATATAATATGATCCTTGATCAGTGATTTAGTAGTTGAAGTTAAAAATGATTGGATGTCATTAGTTCGTATGAATATGAAGAATTAAACTATTTAGATGCATATGTTATTGTGCAAATGATTTGATACGCGTGCTTCACATGTATAGTACGAAAACAAACCTTAGATGGAAAATAAAAAACTTAATTATTTTAAAAAGAATATTTAAGTTATGAAAATATTAACTTTCTTGGCTTCTTACTTGCCTTGAAAGCTAATAATTTCAAACAACATGCTCTTTGTATATCAGCTATATATATGTATAGAAAAAAGTATTCAAAAGGATAATAAATGATCTCACATAAAAAACACAAGCTTATGCACTTCATCATATCATCAGATTCTTTGTTAAGTATGCACCAGAAACTCAATGAAATTAATATACATAACGTAGTCCTCAGCTGTACACTCGGTCAAATTATTCATGCTTCTTTGGGACTTGGGAATATTAAAAACTTACTATTCAAGAACACTAATAGCCACAGTACTCCTGTTCCAACAAGAAATCAAATATTTACATTCTAAATAAATCATACAATTACTTAAGAATTTTCGTGTTCTAATGTCTTAAAACGTGCATGTATGAGATATCAATATGTGAAGAGTGAGGTAATGGAGTACTAATTTGAGAATATTAGCCTATTTAGTTTTTGCTCAATATTTATATTACATATACATATAGTTCAGTTAATTGAACAATAACAGAAGGGGTTAATATGTAGCCAATAAGTGTGACTTTTTAAATATCAGGATCTTACTTTTCAAGAGATGCTATCAAGAGCTTGGATCTTGTTACAGAGATGAATTTAACCAAGAAGATAAATAAAAAATAATTTAACCTATTTTCTTCAACAAACATTTTGATCTTTTATCGAGGTAAATAATCAGACAAACAAAATTTGTGTGCGTAAAAATACCATGAGGCCACCGGTTTATACAACACTTCAGCTTCTTATTAGGAAGGTGGATATATAGTACTCACTACACAAAAATATATATCACACACATAAAATAACGTTATTAAGACAATAATATGAGAACCAACACTATAAAAAAGAAGAAAAATAACATATAAAGTGAAATAGATGGGTCAAGGATTAGAGATAAAGAGAAAAAATGAACCCAACTTTTGCCAGCTAACTCCTAACAAATCTCCATGACTTCTGTTGCATTATCGACGTTAGGTCCTAAATAGCCATAGGAATGACTGTTCAAATACTACACATTTTACTTTTGCATATGAACCTTGTCTATAATTGTAGATTAAATGTAACTTTTCAAATTACTTTTCGATCTTATGAGATTAACCAAGGAAATAAATTCATTGAATATAAAAGTTATAAATTATACCTGCTTATAAATTTGGTCTATAACTTTTCAAATTGTTAACCTTTTGAGGGTAACTAAGAAAATTAATACATTCTTTTTTGTTTTTGGTGTAAAGCAGAGTATAGTGATGATTTAGAGTCAATTTTACAAGTGCTAGACTCCTTGTAAGAAGTGCACGGATTGTAATAGTGAGCCTTGTAGATTTTTGTAAACTTCTATATTGGAGATGTAGCCTTTCATACATTGGAGATGCAAATGGCCGTAGCCTTTCATATATTGATGTAAATGGCCGTAGCCTTTCATACATTAGAGATGTAAATGGCCGTAGCCTTTCATACATTGGAGATGTAAATGGCCGTAGCCTTTCATACATTGGAGACGGCCGTAGCCATTCATACATTGGAGATCAAGCTAGTCCAGTCCCTTTATCATGTCGGCCTGGAGGTCGTAGGGAGAGGTTGATATGATAAACTTGTTTCTCAAATATCTCCAGGTGTCCCCTCTGTCGCCTCGTTAAAAACCTCCCCGAGAAAACCCAATTGGGACAAAACTCGGGTAAGGGAAAAAGAGTACGACTCGGGAGACGTCTTTCAGAAGTGGAAATACTTGAGGTGAGTAACGTTCCAGTTGTTGTGGAGCGTTTTCCCTTCCATTGTTTCCAACTGGAATGCGCCTTTGCTGGCTACTGCTGTGATTTTGTATGGTCCTTCCCAGTTGGTGCCCAGCTTCCCTTCACTCGGGTCTTTGGATGCCAATGTCTTGGCTTTAAGGACATAGTCTCCCACTTTGAGTGGTCTTATTTTGGCCCTCTTGTTGTAGTATCTTTCGACTTGTTGCTTTTGGGCTACCATTCTGATATGGGCCATTTCTCTTCTTTCCTCAGCCTCGTCGAGGTCTTGGAGCCTGTTTGTGTCGTTTTCTGTTCCACTGGTGTGCGAATATCTTAGGCTTGGTTCGCCGACTTCGACGGGTATGACCGCATCGGTTCCGTAGACTAGCGAGTACGGTGTTTCCCCCGTGCTGGATTTGGGTGTGGTCCTGTGTGCCCATAACACTTCGGGTAGCAGCTCGGGCCATAGCCCTTTAGCGTCCTCGAGTTTCTTCTTTAGTATGTTTAATATTGTTTTGTTGGAGGATTCCGCTTAGCCGTTGGCGGCAGGGTGATATGGCGTGGAAAGTATCCTCTTGATGCGCCATTTCTCGAAGAATTCGATCGTTTTTTGGCCGATGAACTGTCGTCCGTTGTCACAACTGATTTCATTGGGGATGCCGAAGCGACATATAATATTTTTCCAAATGAAGGTGATCACTTCCTGTTCGCGTATTTGGGCGTACGCTCCTGCTTCCACCCACTTAGAAAAATAGTCAGTTAAAACTAATAGAAATCGTACCTTCCCTCGCCCTGCTGGTAGGGGACCGACTATGTCTATTCCCCATTTGATGAAGGGCCATGGGGGAAGTGACAGAGTGGAGTGGTTCTCCTGGTTGGTGTATCATGGGGGCATACTTTTGGCATTGTTCGCATCGGCGGACATATTCCGCTGCGTCTTTCTTCATGGTGGGCCAATAATAGCCGGCCCGTATCAGGCAGCGCACGAGGGCGCGGTTGCCTGTATGGGCACCGCAATGTCCTTCATGTACCTCTCCAAGCACTGGCCGCGTTGTTGCGGCCCTAGACACTTGGCTAGGGGTCCGCCATACGTCCTTTTATAGAGCTCGCGGTTTATTAGGCAATAACGGGCGGCCTGTACGCGGAGCTTCTTGGATTTTTTTTTGTCGAGTGGGAGTGTTCCATCCTGCAGATAGGATACAAATAGGTTGCGCCAGTCCCAAGTCAAATTTAAAGAGAGTACCTCAGTGTGATCTATGGCTGAATGGAGGAGGGTGACCACGCTTTCTTTGTTGAAGTTTTTAGTGGCTGCGGCTAATTTTGCTAAGCCGTCTGCCTCTACGTTCTGTGCTCTCGGAACTTGTTCGAAGCGGCACTCGTCGAACTCGGTCATTAGCCTGTGGACTTCTGACTGGTATTTTTGTAACCTCTGCTCCTTGATTTGGTAAGTCCCAGTGACCTGGTTCACCACGAGCTGAGAGTCGCAATGTAGAACGAGTCGTCGAGCTCCATACTTGATGGCTAGTTTCAAACCTGCAATAACTGCCTCGTACTCGGCTTCGTTGTTAGTCATCTCGGGGCATCGTATGGACTGGCGAATTGTTTCGCCCGTGGGGACCTCGAGAACGAGTCCCAGTCCCGATCCCGAGGCGTTAGCGGCGCCATCAGTGTAAAGAGTCCATAGGTCGGCATCGGAGGGGGCAGGGCGTGCCTCCAATTCCGCTTCTGGTAAGATCTCTGCGCTGAAGTCAGCTACGAAGTCGGCAAGTACTTGCGACTTGATGGCGCTCCTTGGGTGATATGAGATATCGTGCTCACTGAGCTCTATGGCCCATCGGGCGAGTCTGCCTGATAACTTAGGTTTGTGTAGGATACTCCTCAAGGGGAAGGTCGTCACTACCTTTATGGGGTGGCATTGGAAATAGGGTCGGAGCTTCCATGAAGCTACGACCAATGCCAAAGCTAATTTTTCAAGATGTGGATACCGTGTTTTGGCGTCCACTAAGGTTTTGCTAATATAGTAAATAGGAGATTGTGTACCTTCACTTTCGCGGACTAGGACTGCGCTGACGGCAACCTCGGACACGGCCAAATACACCAGCAGTGGTTCACCTGGGTCTGCTCTGGCTAGCA